TTCCGATTGCGCTTTGCGGAGCGTGCACCCATTTGCGGAACGATAATCGTGGTCTCGGTTTCGATTAACTCTGGCCAAATTTCGTTCACGGCAATGGAGCAATTGTATGCCAATCGCATTATCTCTCTTCTTCTCTAACAATTGTTTCCAAAGCTTAATCCAGCTGAATTATACCAAAATATCTTGGATCTTATTTTTTTCTAAAATTATAACCGCAAAGCTGTATTCGACAGAAAGTTTAGCGATGAATTATGATCGTCGTGTAAGTAAATGGAATCGAGAACGTTGTTTAAAGAGCGATCGAGATATACGTTTAACAATTCTTAGGGTAGATCGATTTTATTACGTAATAAGGAGTTCGAGGAATCGGGTGTTCGGCGAACTTGATCAGAAACTTGGTTCGCCGTAGTTTGAAAATGTTGGTTACCAACTACGGAACTCGATGCATGTGCGTGAGAGGAGGGAGAGGGTTAAAGGGGGGTTTGCCTGTTTGCGCAACGTTCCCTCGTAACGTATTTTCCATCGTTTCGCCGCGGGATACGTGCCATTTTTGTACGAAAATGGCCTCGTTTGCTCTCCCGTGCGCCAAACCTCGTATGAGAACTCCACCGTCGCGCATCAATGTCCGATGGACAACCGCACGACTCGCGAATTTGCCCCGGAATATAATAAAAGCGATTTACGATATACGTTTCACATACCTGAATAACATCGCGGCCAACTATTGGATGAACCACATGGGTAACATATGACACGCGGAACACGTCCAGTAACTTAGAGAGCGCAGTGTTTCATGTAAAAAAAAAAAAAAAAAAAAAAAAAAAAAAAAAAAAAAAAAAAAAAAAAAAAAAAAAAAAAAAAAAAAAAAAAAAAAAAAAAAAAAAAAAAAAAAAAAAAAAAAAAAAAAAAAAAAAAAAAAAAAAAAAAAAGAGTTGGCCTCTCTCGTGAAATTTTCCGTGAAAAATAAGAGCGTTTACGATTTTGGTTTACAGCATCTCTACGTTCATATATTGTACACTTTTATTATTAGAATCTAGATTATGCTATTTATTACTAAAGGCCGTCATATAAAAAATATTATTAATTGTATATACGATATTTTTTTCGTATCGCAAAACGTATTATTTTTAATTAAATTTCGAAATGTAATTTCCATGTTGGTCCTCAGTCATGAGCTTTTATATCACTTTCTTCTCGAGGATATTGCTGCTGGCAAGAGAGAACGTGCTGAGTTTCGTGCTCGTTCTTACGAGCGATTTGTACATTTCTGGAAGTTTGTACGGGTTTTCGTTGCCATTAACCTTTATATAGCTCCGGCATTTGGTAACTTTTATGACCTTTGAAACTTTAAATTTTCTTTCAAAATCGCTTATAGCCTCCCTTGGATACCATTCTCGAGGTGTGTCGGAAACAAGAAACCGTATAGAGCTTGCTTTTTTTTCCATCATGATCCGAGTTCAGAAAGAGAGAGAAAGAGAGGATTGCGAGCTAAATTACTTATTATTTCTTTCTTTCTCTCTTTCTTTTAACTCATTTTTTCCTGACTCTTAAATAACTTTAACGTTAAGTTTTTTTTTTAAGCAAAAGCGTTTCTCTGACAAGAACTTTTTTACATTTAACAAAAATTTAAAAAAATAATTAATTTTTCAAGTGAATCACAATCTGTTATCAAAAGTTATGTAACGTTACGTTATTTGCGTGAATTTTTAATACGATAGAAAAATGTAGCAGGGATAATTACATCGCGCGATGTTATTATGCACCGACGTCTGCGTTACATCAACAACGTCGCGTAATCGCTATTCATATTTGGTGATGAAGCCGTCGTCGTCCCGGTTACGCGACGACGGATAGAAAATTAGTAATTTACGTCGTCTAAGTCCGGGGCCGGGTGCCTATTACCTTATCATTAGGATTCTTCCCGTCTCTTGATTTCTAAGCTGCAGGGCATAGAGTGTACATTAGGCTGGGATCGCCCGCGGCACGATAGGATAGTTAGTACCCACTACTACTATCACTCGCCGGATTTGCATACGCTAACGAGATTTCTGCGGTTTTGCCGATGCTTTGCATGCTGGCCGCGCGTGGTTTCGGGACGCTACGCGACTACGTCTATTTATGTCTACGTCATAGGTATGTCGGAAGATGAAAGCTCTCGGATGTTGGCGGCACGTCGACGAATTCGCGAATTTACCAGCGGTTCCTCCGGTTGAAATTATACAAACGCATCATATCTTGCGTTATGATTATTTTAATGTAATTCTCATTCCGAGATTTGCTTTGCTATGCACACGGGAGAACCCGTAGTTCACGTGCAACCTCGCGGAAGGATATATCACTCGTGCAAATTACGTTTTATCGCTTGTCATTTCTCCAAAGCGCATTTTGGCATTTCATATAACGGATTTTATACTCTAAAATACGATCCCGTTGCGTTTTAGCGAGAAATTTTCGTACAAACAAGCGTGACTGTTTCGCGTTTCCACCGGTACCGCGAGTTGTTTCCTGAAATTTCGAGAAAACAGTGCCGGCACAACGCCAATTAATATTAGTTAGAGCGCGAACGAATTATATTAACCTTCATAGTTATACGTGTTGGGGAGGGGAAGAGTGAACAAATGTCATTTTTTTCGATTTTTTAGCATTGAATTATTTTGAATGCGGAATTTTATAACGGATGTAATAAAAATTTCTACGATCATATATAATAGACATACATTATTTAAAAAATTTCATCTGGCATATGTAATAAATTAATAATATTACATTATTTAAAATCGTATATCGCAGATACTGTGCAAACGCAATTAATATTCTCTCTTCTGTTATTGATAAAGGGTTATTGTATCAGTTGCGTTTACACAATATCGACGATTCCCCAGACGTTCTGGAGAATAGTTAGTACTTTAATGTTATTAGAATTTTATGTAATTCTTATTTACGACGTGATGTTTTTATTGTCTCCGCAATAGCATATATATTGATACTTGCGCCCTTAAAGCACCACGGTCTTAGTTTACGACGTTGAGAAATGCGCGACGTAAGATTTCTTCTCGCTCGTGCCAAAAGTGCGGAATTGCGGGACAGAATAATTAGTCGGCCTAATTGTTAATTTACTAATAGGCTGCGTAGCCCTTTTTAATTATACATCGGGCAAATTTCAAGCTCGATGTTTGCACCGAGCGAGTTTTCAACTTTTAACTATGGAGTTAATTCGCACAGAATAAATTGCGCGGCTTTTTCCCGCGCGTTTCCTGATAAAAATTATAATTAGGATAAGTAGGAAGGAAGGAATGTATTGCATCCTGTGCGAGTTGCACGTCCCTCGTGTATATGGCGTCATCGTAAAAAAGCTGCGAAATATATCGGCTTTATCATAAATATTCATCAATATCGATATCAATAACGCCGATAGCGATAAAGAGATCATCTTCGCGGATGAATACGAAAACTTTTGCGCAGCAAAGTTGACATTATTATCTGGCGGATATATATTATATAAAGTTATAAAGTTTACGAATTTATCATCACGCCATTTTGGAAGTTGGCAAAACGAAAGTTTACATATTTTCCTCAATATTTACATGCATATTTTCTTTTTTCTATTCGATTCATTCGCACGCGATAATCTTTAACAATATGCAATTTTCGTGTTTTATTTTTTTCACAATTTAATTATTCGAGGTGATATTACTTTTTTATTTTTAACTTTTCTAGTCAACGAGATATTGTCATCCATATTGCGAATTTTTTTCTTTATTTAGATATTTTTTTAAATAACCTGACTGGGTCGATGATTGCGCGAGGACAATTGACATAGTTTTTCATCTAGATTATTTTTAAATGGCTCTACGAATCGATGAGAGAGATATCGTCAGGTCACCAACTTAAATTCACATGGTCCGCTTTCACGTTCGACAATCGATTCGACGAACATACGTATAAAAGAGAGAGAGAGAGAGAGAGTAATAAAAGAAAAAAGCGGGGAAATAGATGCAGCTGTAGAGTAGATATAGAGGAATGGGGGACGGCCGACGGTGGGCAGCGGAAAAGGGGTAGAGGGGAAGGGAAGGGGTGATAGAGGTAACATTTGGAAACTTTGGGGTATGCGTAATCTCGCCCATAACGTCTGTTAACAGAGATCGCGCCGCAGCTGGTCTACAGGTTTATCGAACAGACAATGCAGCCCGGTCCATCGGTTTCCCTGAAATGCAGCGCCGCGGGTAATCCCACGCCGCAAATTTCCTGGCTGCTGGATGGATTTCCGCTTCCACAAAACGACAAGCTCTTGATTGGCCAATACGTGACTGTGTACGGGGATGTAATATCCCACGTTAATATCACGAGCGTGAAGCCAGAAGACGGCGGCGAGTACGAATGCATCGCCGGCAGCCGCGCCGGCGAGGCGAGGCACTCGGCGAGGCTCAATATTTACGGTGAGTCAGCGCGAAAGTCGCGTCAACGCGGTCGTAAATACGTTTTCCCGTAATTAGGTACGTTTATACTACCGTCCCTACAACTCTGTCAAAGTTACCATAATTTACGCTCGCGTCTCGCCATCTTTGCTAGCTAAATAATTTCTCGATATATCATATTGAATATAAAGTAATTTACGAACATATATCTCTTTTCGGTATGCTAACGGATAAAAGTAATAATTCTGAATTAATTGGTTTTATAATATTTTAACGTTTCATAAATTGAAATATTGAAACTTATGAAAGTAATAAACTACTCTTCTCTCTTGTTACATTAAGAGAGACCTGGACATTGGAAGGAAATTGAGATCTTTTGTGTAATGCTAAAATAATATTTTTTAAATCAATATTATTTTCTCAAAATAAAAAATAATAATTTCTAAAGAAATAAAGTTAAATAATTTTCGTATATGAAATTTGATTCTTCTGCATCCGTTGCGATTTTCGTTACATTCTTTTTCGTTAGAATTATATTCTCCACAACTTTGCATTCAAAGTTATACATTAATTATCATAATACAAACGCTCTACAATAGTTATCAGTTTCGAGAGCAGTTTCTACTATTAGAATACTGCTTTAGAATGCTTCTGAATTATAAAAGTGTCTCTGCCGCATGTCGAGATAATTCTAAATTACTGTAATATAAAAATGTAGAGTTTTTAGAGAAATATTAAATTCGGAGATGTATTAAGAATTAGTTCTACGTGATGCTTTTTACATTCTTTATAATTTCACAAAGTCGAGAAACTAAAATTGGATTTATTGTGTAATTTATAACTTTATGCTATTTTGCGAGTGAACCGTAGTGTAACGACCTTTATTGCTTTCTAATCTCAGGATTGCCATACGTCAGACCGATGTCGCCCGTTTCAGCGGTCGCCGGGAAGCAACTATATATCAAGTGCCCTGTAGCCGGTTATCCTATTGAATCGATAGTGTGGGAGAAAGGTAAGCATCGTGTGTCATTTTTGTTAATCCTCTCGACCGAGTAACGGGAATTTCACGTTCGTTTGGGTATTCAATATTTTTCCATTGTGGAAGAAAGGTACATTAAAATCTCTCGTCGATTTCAGCATTGATTGATAATCCTTATTTACGCTCGTAATCAACAAATTATGCGACGCGTTGCAAAGTTTGACAAGTTTATTTTATTTGTTTATGTTTGGAAATTTGCTTATGCGATTAAGAGTTAATTGGAACGTTGAAGATGCAAAATATTTGCGCCTTTCGCGGAATAGGAAGCATATATCATATTATCATATATTATATTATTGAATATCTCGAATATTCTCGAATGCGTAGAGGAGAGCTTTCGTTTAAATGTAACGACGCTGAATGCTTTGTTATCAGGGGACGTAAAACTGCCTACCAATATGAGACAAAGAGTCGCCAACGGCACGCTGTTTATCGATACTGTACAACGCAGTGCCGATGAAGGCACGTACACATGCACTGCCAGAAACAAACATAATTTTACATCGCATCGCTCGGTTGAAGTACGCGTTTTAGGTAAGTAAATACATAGCCAATAGTTTCTACATAATTTCCCGTAATATGAATACCGGAATTCAAAGTATTCGTGAAATTAATATTTGAAAATGAAGAGATAGCTATGCACGCGTGCTCGTACAATAAAGCGCCATCTCGCTTTCCTGTTAAACTAGAAAAAAAAAAGATATTCAGTCGCGCGTGTCACCGAGATAATATTTTTGATACAGCACTTTTAATGCAATATATATATTCTTACAGTTTACATCATATTATGCGAACATATTTAATTGACACAATTTTTATATGATATAATAACGTATGTGAAATATGTAGCACATATTTTTACGTGAAAGTATCTCTCTTAAAAATTTAAATCAACGTCGCGTCTGCAAAATCGATGTAATCCTTGGACAAAAATTTCGCACAAAATTTCACGTGAAATCTGACATTGAATTGTTTAGCCGCTTTTTGCAATTTACTCCCGCACTATCGAAGCGCGATTATGGATATCATGGATATCACACTAATATGTATTCTCCCTTTGTCGAACAATGTATTAACTATCCATTGCCCGTCCCCTTCGTCAAACTGTATTAATTGCAGCCCGTTTATATACATAACGGTGTCCGGTGTGCGCGTTTGACGCGCGGCAGAGCCGAATTTATCTTTACATAACGTGCTCGTACAATAAAGCGCCATCTCGCTTTTCTTGTTAAACAGAAAAAAAAAAAGATATTCAGTCGCGCGTGTCACCGAGATAATATTTTTGATACAGCACTTTTAATGCAATATATATATTCTTACAGTTTACATCATATTATGCGAACATATTTAATTGACACAATTTTTATATGATATAATAACGTATGTGAAATATGTAGCACATATTTTTACGTGAAAGTATCTCTCTTAAAAATTTAAATCAACGTCGCGTCTGCAAAATCGATGTAATCCTTGGACAAAAATTTCGCACAAAATTTCACGTGAAATCTGACATTGAATTGTTTAGCCGCTTTTTGCAATTTACTCCCGCACTATCGAAGCGCGATTATGGATATCATGGATATCACACTAATATGTATTCTCCCTTTGTCGAACAATGTATTAACTATCCATTGCCCGTCCCCTTCGTCAAACTGTATTAATTGCAGCCCGTTTATATACATAACGGTGTCCGGTGTGCGCGTTTGACGCGCGGCAGAGCCGAATTTATCTTTACATAATGTTTCTATTAGGTTCATCAAGCAAACTCTATATGGTGCGTTGTTTGACATTGGACAGGATTAATTAGCGCGAGACAACATCGGACTCCCGAATCTTTACTTTATCGCGCATTGCGCACCGTTCCTCGGAATATGTCGTGCTTTTCACACGAGGCTCGTATCGATTTGTCGATCGCTCGCGAATGCAACTGTGTTTGATGCGGGCTGCATAAAAACATTATAATAGAGACAAATAGTTTTGCATTATATCGATGGAATATATATTTCGACGGAGAATATATTTTATTTTTACGTTGGAAGATGATGGGGGGAGAATAGCTTTTCGGTTTTGATTGATCATTTATTTCTATATCGTTCGACAATCACGTTTCATTGTCGAAAAAAAAAAAGGAAAAATGGGAAAGCTGTACTGTTTAGGTTTCTATGCAGTTTTTGCAATCCCGCCTCGCCCTGGATTCTAACAGAAAAGCTTCTCCGAAAATCGTATGAGACCTTTCTTGAAAGGGACTATTTTATATATGTTTCACTGTGTGATGTAACGCGCGCGCGCATGTGTATGTGCACATGTACATATATAATATACATACGATGCCTGCGGAAATCGCGCAATTTCAGATCAAATTGCTTCGCGCATTCGTTAATCGATTGTTTCCCGCGTTCAATTTTCCATATCAATAATCAAATATCGTATTAATATTTCGAAGTATGCGAAATATTAGTCAAATAGCAAGTTACACAAGAATTATATCAAATTATCGTCGAGAAATGTATTTGAAATAAAAAGAAAAAAAAAAAATGAAATATTTTTGTGCGACTCGCGATATTGTCGTTTCTTTTCGCACACTCGCGATTCTCACATCATTCTCCCCAAAAGAGGGCAAACGCGCGTGATTTCCGGCGACATTTGTCGGCTATATGTATGCGTGCGGGCGTATGCCGCGCGTATAGAAGACGTGTCCGGAAATGACCTATGCACAGGGCACAGCACCTCACTGCATCGCTCAAGCATTCCTCCTTTGCACGCGCTCGCCTAACTGCTCTGTTCTATTCCGTGTATTTTTATGTACTCGTGTACTTATGTACATAAAAATCCAGCTGACACACGTATGTACGTAACGTAACTATGTACATAGGACCGACGACGTGACGTACTACAGATATATCGCACGGGGTATTACCGGAAAATGTTTTTCGACCTTCCTAATGTTTTCTCCGTTATGTTTATGTGTGCGCATATACATAACGGAGACGATACAACTTGTTTTACAACGCGCGTAATAGCATATTAATTTCGTAATACCCCGTAATGCCTAAAATGTGTATAGATTTAAATCATAAGTACTTTATAAGAAGGCTTTCGATATAACGACGATCGAATCTGTCAAATTTGTCGGCGATCCGGATAACAAAAAAAAAGGGGGGCAGACACACATTATAATAGTACGCGTAAAAGAAAATATGGAACCATTTCCTTCCTTTTCGATCTCTGAATTTTTCAGTTACGCATGTTTGTTTAACATGTACCTATACAATTTGTGTTATTCTTATAAATATAAAGCTTGTTATAGAGAGATCGTCGGCAAGCTGAATATTCTATCGAAAATCACTGCGATAGCCTTTCTTTAAAATCGCACACATTATTTTCTTTTAATATGCTAACGATCTGTAGACGTCTCCCAGAAGCGTATCTCGTCGCGATATCGCATGTCTAAATGGGTTCGCATTAATCGCACTTATCTCTCGTTTGAATAATAAAAGTTTTCTTTACTCTATGCAGAAAACACATAATAATATGAAATATAACATATATAATATTTTTCAGTCGTGCGCGAAATGAACGAGAATCAATATCACGCAAGAATGGGAATTATTACGTTTCTGAGAATACCGACATAATATTTTCTCAGTTTCCTTCCCGGCTGATGCGCACGGTCTTGATTTCCGCCGTTGAAGACGGAAAGGAGCGATCGATTAATCTCGCTACTCCGCGTCTCACGGATTCCGTTTTCTTGACGTATGCCGTATCGAACGAGGTCGCTTCTCCTTATCCCGGCGGTGCTGCTGGAACGCGCCGCTTGAAAAATCGCTTCTCCCACACTTGCAAGAAGGCGCGTCTGGCAGCGAGCGGGAGATTACGACGATTACGACCGTTTATCCCCCATATTATATATACCTGCACCTGCACACCTTTCTCTTCCCTCCTCACGTTCCATAATATATCCCAACAACAGCGTGATTCTCTAGTGATCTGAACTGCTTTGATGGAATGCCACCTTTGTCTGTATTGTTCTTTCAGTGCCACCTAAAATCACGCCTTTCAGTTTTGCTCGCGATTTAAACGTAGGGGACCGTACTAGCGTACAGTGCGTAGTCGTGACCGGCGACCTACCACTGACATTCACATGGCTCAAAGATAACGTCCCGATAGAGACGGTCAGGACGTTGCCGTCGGCCTCGCAGGATGCGCCGACGTCGGGCAGCCGCGGTCGGTCGCCGGCCGCCAGTCCCGGGATGGACGTGGGCCCCCCTAAGCTGAGGGGCCCTGCTACCATGACCGCATCCGGCCCCGGGCATGACGAAGCGTCCCCCTCGTCCCAGAGAAAGAGCATTACCATTGGGAAACATGACGCTTTTACCAGCGCCCTGAGCATTAGCACGATCGCACCCGCGCACAATGGCACGTACACCTGTCGCGTGACCAATGGCGCCGCAACCGTCGCTCATTCTGCACTCCTTCACGTCAACGGTAAACGCACACCGTTGGTGTCGTTGTACGCGTACCGTGTTCCGGAATATCTCGCTCAATATATATCTCTCTCCTTCTCTTCCATCGCTATACCTCGTCCTTTACCTCATCTTCTTATCGCGCTTCTGTCACGATCGAGAGAGGCTCTCGACGCCAAGTATCGTACAGCATCGTATTTCGGAACACGGTACCCGGTCACCGCTCATCGGAATGCCAACGACGACGTCGAACGGCAACGAGAACGAGAGGGCGGAGGGTGGCTGGAGGATGGGGAAATGGGGGTTGATTCGCGCCACGTCTCTCCCACGCGGAATAAGATCGGCGTCGATGGCGGCAAGAGAGCGGTTTGTCATTGAGATTCGCGAGCCGAGCCGCCTGGGTCGTGATAGGACTGGACTGGCAATTTTCCAGTTCGTTGACCGGTATGGCGGCGACGGAAAGTAACTGATTGATCGGCACGTAGGAAAACACACGCCGTTGTTGCTCCGCGCCGCGACGATCGATCAATCAACGCGTCCGACTTTGCGCGCGGGAGAGGAAGATGCGTAACCGTAATCAATTTTATTTCACACACCTTGAGAGAGGAGCGCTCGATTACGTCGCGAAATTATTCGCGCGATCATCCGGACATCTTCGTCGGGACGTCGTCGTTGCCCGGCATTGTTTTTGAGCGTCGACCGGTACTACGGTTCGCTCTCGAATGATCTTCGATCTTCGAATGATTTAAGATCATCCCGAGACGCGGCCGTTTTTGCTACACGCTAGTCCAAGACGCACGCTACGTACAGCGACGCGCTGCATCGGTGCATTCGTATTTTCTTTCGAAGAAGAAGGGATTTTCCGAGGGCTTGAAAAAAGAGAGAAGATCCCCCATAGGGGCGCGCACTGTAATGTCACCGATTCAGCGTGTCGCCGGCTTTTCTTTCTCAGATTACTCTCGATTTTATATCGTTCTCTCGTCCTTTCACTCTTTCTCGTCCTGCACGCCGTTCTCTTTGCACGCCAATCTGCACGCTTTGATCGAATTTTCCTGCAACCACTATCGATACCTGTGTGTATTGTACGTACTGTACACTCTCTTGGCAATGCCTTTGATTCTCATATTAACATCATATGAGCGGCCCGGAGCTGTACTTGCCCAAAATCACATCTCTTTCGCTTTCAGGCATCTAAATCTGACAATATTTTATCGAGAAGCAAGTACAATAAAAAATATGAAAAAAATTCTATGAAAATATTAGATAAATGAAATATATATTTCAAGAAAAAAAAAACAAATATTATATAAATAAAATAGAAAGCTGGGCATCCATGGCATTAGCCGCTTATACGTACATACTTATTATAGTATGTATTATTTAGATACAAGGTATTGTCTGTGACATCGAGAAGATGCGCGAAAGGGGCGAAGAGCTCTCACGTAAAAAGGAACTCAAGAGACATTTTCGTTCGTCGGAATCTCGATGTCGCAGCGAGATCGTAAACCTATCGTAAAGTTCGTACTGGTTTTCTTATTCGCACAGATGTATATGCATCGTTCAGCATTGATATTCAAGAGATACGTAATGTTTTGACTGAATATTATATAAATTTGCCTATTTCTCCTAGTATTATATACTCTACATACACACGGAAATCGCTGTTAACGACATTTCTACGATCCCGTAGAAGGCGTTTGGTATTTTTTTTTACGAATGACTCGTTATATACTTTGTTACTGATTATTGTGTTGTATGGTATATCACGTTTTTGGGCGTTTTTCATGACGAAGTAATCATTTTATTAATGTAGCAAAGAGTTTTTATAATGATGTGTTTAAGCTCGAGGTATATCATATATATACTTTGTGTAACATCGTTTTCACCATCACTATATTGTTACGATATTATTATAGAGACAGTAGTGATATTTGTATATCCAAGAAGCGTTCGACGCGAGAGATCTCTAAAATTTCTGGTAAAGAAGAATTTAATCTTTGTATGCATCAAAATCAAATAATAAAGAAAGAGATAAAATAAAATAAAGAATAAAATAAAAAGAGATGCAGTCACATGAACAGATTGCGTCGTTTTACGTCCTCGACGTACCCGGAGATCTCTCGCGGTCCTCAATTTTTATTCCGCATTTGAAAAGTTTTGATAGGGCCCGCGGTAAGTAAGTCTGCGATACGCAATTGAGAAAGAGGGGTGTATCTCCTCGAAGGGGAGCAGATGCGTGCAGATGTTTCATGCCGGTTGTACGGTCGTTATGGCGCATCTCGCCCGGCCAGGAAATCGCGTTTAAAACCAACTCCGCGATGTACATCCGCGAGGGAATCTATTCTCGAAGGGGGGGCTGCAGGTGCTACACAAAGTTTTCACGCATATCAGCGTGAAACGGCTTATTAACGGTTCCTTCTCTCTTCGCGCGTCTTCCCGACCTCCCTTCCCTCGCGGGAGGGCGCGGCCGCGAGCTTATTTCCAACTTCGCCAGACCAGTCTCTCCTCGTATAAAGACACATTGGCCGACATTAACAGTTATGCTCGCTCGTAAATGTTCATTTTCCGAGTTATATTCGCGGCGGCTGCCGACGCATGTAGCATACAATATTTATGGCAGTGTGCCATGCAATTTTCCGCGGATCTTGCCATGCATGCCGGCGCGAAGGAAACGGGCGACCACACGCGTTGCGCGTCGCACCTGTCTTTTCTCCGCTTCGAAGGTAATCGTCCGGCGAGATAGATGAAAACGAATGATGGGTTATCGGATTTCACGATTCGTTCAGCGCACGGGTCGTTGCGTGTCAAACAGCCGGAAAAAATAGACTGCGCGAAAGTAGTGCGTAAGCGCAAAAAACCGCGTGATTTTGTTTCGCTCGACTTGTCTGATCGAATTAATAGTTAAAATATTAGATGACGAGTAACGCGAGCGAGATCTATCACTACGGTCCGTCCCTTGCATGCATTACCCGTCCTTTTTTTTTCGCAAATCGAGAATCGTGACAGATGGTGTCACGAGACAAAGAGTTCAAAAGATCGGATCCTCGAATCCTCGGATCGATGATGCGCTTAGGTGCGGTTAATGCTGGTGCAAGAGACCCAGAGAGACGTACATACATACCTATTATCATGTCACAAACGTAACGTTTATAGTTCCGCCGCGGATCTCGCCGTTTTATTTCGAAAACGGTGTGATGGAGGGGGAGCGGACACAGCTTATGTGTGCGACGAGCCAGGGCGACCAGCCGTTCAACATCACGTGGTTGGTGGACGAGAAACCGATTCAGGTCAGGGCGAGCGACGGCGGTACATCGGTGTCGTCGGTCCAGACCGTCGCCACCGTCGAGACCAGCAACGGCATACAGATAAGCGACTATCCGCCGTTTTCCAGCATCCTGACGATAAATAGCGTCAGGGCTAGTCACAGCGGCAACTACACGTGCCAGATCAGCAACATCGCTGGCCTGGCCGAGCACTCGACCAGCCTCTCAGTCGCTGGTTGGTGTCCTGAAAAAACTGACATGGTAGCCGTAAGAAAACTGTGTACATAAATGCGTCCGTAAATAACAACCCTCCTTTTCGCTATCCTTTTCTTCCATTTCTCTCTTTCTCTCTCTCTCCCTCTTTCTATCTATCTATCTATCTATCTTTCTATCTCTCTTTCTTTCTCTCGCAATTTTGTATCATTTTTCTCGCGTATATAGATGTGTATACACTTACATGTATACGCACATATATATATATATGTAATATAAGATAGGTATATAGATCGTATAGGATGGAATTCGGAGAAACGTCGAGCAGGGTTTATTCGGTTTTCGTTTTTTATTTAATCCGCTCTCCTGTCTTCCTGGTTACTCGAACGACTTACCCGGGTCGTTGATGATATCCCTCGAGGAGGGACGTGCGATACGACTCCCTATTCGCCGGATCGTAATCTTATACGTTGGTATCTGATTTCGCCAATTTGTGAAGCATCATCCTTCATCTTAAAAATTTACCTCACTCTTTAGCGAAAAATATAAAGTTTTATCCTAAAATATAAATTACATGCATAAAGTTTTAAAATTCAAAAAACGTATAAATCATGTTGAAAAGAAATATATATTTTTATACTTTATAAAAACTTTTATTTATATAAAAAGTTTTATATACATAAACCAGGTTTATATAGATATCATAAGAATAGACATTTTTATTTTTCAAATAGGAATTCATGTGTTCCAATTTTTTTTATTATGAGAGTAATACAATTATTGAACATTTTAGTGAAAATTTATCTCGGCCATTTTAGAATGCGAAGAGGTGTAAAGTGTACACAATTTAAAAAATCAATTCTAATTGTCCATTGAATCTATTAGTGTTATTATCTTATCTTAAAGACCTAAAAAAAAAAACAGAAAAGGATTGATTAGAAAATTGAGTCGTAACGCGATATCTAGAATAGTCTCGGGAGGATTAATAGTTAATGGGTTTCGCCGGATTACGTTCCTAATGTTTTACACAACAGAGAAAGGTTTACATTTATCTATCTCGGTTCAAACTCTACAGAATATTAAAAGATTCATATGAATCTATACACATTGCTACGGTACGATCGTATATATTATTACGGTACGAATGGCGACCGCTCCTAATGCATATAAAATACGCAACAGAATCCCTTGGTTTTCGACATCTAAAAGCCATTAAAGATTTTCCAGCAAAACTGTCGCTTGGCAAAAGAATTTTCTCAGAGCAGCATGCGATCCCTTAACCTCCGCAAAGGCTGTATGCGCATAACAAATTGAAAGTTGAATCTACAAAGCTGTAGTTTTTCAAGAATAAACATCAAAGAAGTAGATAATATAATAGTAATTGGATCTTGCATTACAACCGTCAAATAAGAAGCTTAAGAATTAAATTTAACGAATTAATTCAAGACGTAATTGCGAATTTTTTATGAACTCGACATTTAAAATAATGAATACGTGACATGATTAAAGTCTGCTATTTTGTCTGCAACAGTCATAATTGAATTTCTCGAGTCATTACGCTTATATATGTATATTCATATACTCTGAAAAAGATACTGCAGTCATATTATAGAGCGCATCCTAAACCCCTCCCAATATTCGCCTCGTCTGCCAAATGGAAGGCAATGCGCTTGCAAGTTTGCTTTGTGTTCATCGTACGATGGAGCACTGCACTTTTCAATTCCATAGTACTATAATATCGTTACTGCACCACGATCAGTATGGATATCTTTCAGTGCGATTTTACATACACTGATATTTCCGTGTTACTTCTACTTGGCTATATATTGTACATATATCTTGAATATATATATATATATATATATATGCTATTTTTATATGAATATTGTACATTTATATTTGTTCTATCTTTTCTGATACTCCGTCATATCACAAACATTTTGTACTACTTACTCTCGGACGCCTTTCTTATGTCTGATTATACTACTTTCACTTGGCCGTATCAAGCGTATTTTGTACTACTTGCGTGCTTTGATGTACCATTTATATCTGGCTGGAATTATACTACTTACGCGTTTGAAGACATTTGAATTCAAAGGAAGCAATCCAGCGAAAATACCCATTAATTTGCCTCACTAATTGCTAAAATTTTTTTTTTTTTTTTTAACACATAAAGGCAAAGTCGAAGCGGCAGAATTAAAGGAAAAATCGATATGAAATTACCTGGCACGATGCCGCCATATCCCAATATTTCTTTCGTTCGTCTTTGAAGATAGCTTGATAGAATTTTTATTTATCGTTAGAAGTCGAAGATGAGCATACCACGCAAGCAGGGAATACTTCGCTTGCGGATGACGACATGGAATCGTGTACACGACAAATGTATCGCCGACTTTACTTCTTTGCATGCTCGTCTCCATGAGAAATAAGTAGATTCTCACGATTGTTGCTGCGGCAGGACGATTCTATTTGTGAATTTTAACGAGGGGGATATATAATTTTTTTTTTTTTCGATAAATGACGTTATATAATTTTTAACGAACACGTAACACGGCCCATTTTTCAGGATCGTGTCGACGTGCCGGTAAGGCCTGATGTAAAATGTATTTTTGACTCTTATCGTCCCCCTTTCGTTTTCCACGAGCAGCATCGCCGTGATCGATGTTGAAATTGAAATTCCATTTTTTGAGCGTTTGTAGAGGTATCATCAACACGTGTTTACAGATTTTTAAAGGACGTTCTCGCGAATGTACTAGGTAGAGTATCCGTAGCGAGTTGATATATTCAAGACGTTGTGCTAATGTAATGCAACATTTGTCTATGACGGGTGTGCATAAGCATGCATTCGCGTAGTTAACCTGTTTCTGGTTACAATTCCCTTCCCCCCTTCCCCTCTTTTGCGAGAGCGACTTGGAATGACGATGGAAGAATGTAAAAACGATACCTTCCCCTTATATACTACGTGTCTCTTTTTCTATTTTCGTATTATTATACGGTAACGTTGTCACGGTATCGTTTGCGTTTGTCGTTGTCCGTTGTTTGGAAGCATTTTATATTATACATTCATCTCTTAAACGGCTCTATTTACTTGGAATGGTGCTTGCGTTGTTACGTTCCTTATGATAATGACCGATTTTTGCATTTTTGCATGACATTACGTTCTCTATTCGTACTATATTATGTGTATTATACTTTTTCGACCGATACACATTTATAGTTTGATTCTCATACTAATCTACTCTCACGTATTAGACGGACAGTCTTTTGTTAAAATATGTTTATTTCGTTTTATATTTCTCTTTTTACCGTATATACTCTAATTTAATAGATTGTTTAGAATTTTTAGTTAGTTTTTTATGTAGGTTTAGTAATCATTTTCCTCTACCGTATCAGTGATGTGCACGTTCTATTTTATTTTTGGTATATTCTACTAAATTATTATTTCCTTGATATACATATATGACTTGCCTGGATTCTTAATGAGATTAAAAGTAGTTCAGTACAGAAAGAAATCCATTCACATTTGTTTTTCATATTTATACATATACATAACATCGTCAATTCAAGTAATTTAGCTGTAGCCTTAATGGATTTCGTAGTATAACATTGTTACAATTTTCAGCAAAGAATTTGCGTAAGTATATAATCTAATTGGAAGAAAGATGCATGCGTTACATAATTATTAACACACCAGGAAAAGATTAATTTTGCCATAGCCGTCGGTATTCGTCGCCGTTCAAATCGTGATACAATATCGGTTGAATATTTGAATATATAGCGAATGACTGTTCAAGTAAATAACCTGCCATATCATATATTTTTAGATTGGAATAATAACAGATAAAATCGCGACTCAGCTACGCAAGGGAAATCGATACTGTTTGATGGTTTTACATAATATCGTCTCGAGGAAATAATACAAAATTACAAAATAAAATTACGTATTACTCTCAACATGTTACAAATAAAATAAATGAAAATTTATAATAGATTTGTAATAAAGCGAGAATTACACATATTGATATATTATATATTGTTCATATTTTCATCAAGCTCAATTGTTTGTAATTATAAAATATATATAAATCTTGTAATATTTTATATTTACTCACACATAGAGCCAAGATACGTATAATTTTAGCAGTTAATACTGACTTTAATAGAGCTCTGTCTCTCAGATACTCGTGTCGACGTAGCTCGCGAGTAGGATAATTCGTTATTGCAAATTCTGAGATGAATGGCAACGGAAACGCGGGCGTGTCTGATAAGATTTTGGCGAATACGAATTCTAGCGACTGGAAGATTTTAAACCATTTGGTTCGTATTTTTAGTACCACCGAGGTGGACCGTGGAACCTATCGACCAGAACGCGGTTGTAGGTCACGGCGTCTCCATCGCCTGTCAGGCCGAAGGATTCCCCATTCCGACTGTGACTTGGAAGCAATCTATCGGTAAGTCACGACTTCTTAAAGGTGGGATCTTGATGCGAGGAAAATCTCTCTCTCTCTCTCTCTCTTTCCACCAGGCTTACGAGAGATGTATTACGTCTTCGATGCGCGAGAAATGAGAACATTTTCGCACCTAAAAAATTATCTCTAAGCATATAACTTTGGTTTTAATAAAAGCAGAGTTAATCAAATAATGATTTTTTTTTTCTATCACTATGACTATACTATATGAATTGCCAATTTTGAAACGTCATATATGAGCGTAGATATTATTTTCGCCTTCTTCCGTTTGACTCGCAAATTTAGCGCAGTTTTATTCGACGCGAGTATTATTACATTTTCTAACAATTTCTTCCCGTACTTAACATTCATTAGACGAGAGTTTTGTTTGCGCGGACATTATGTAATTTTCATTAAAGTTGTGCGAGCGGAGTCGGAGGTCGACGGAGATCGACGGAGGAAAAAAAGAACGCGCCGGGAACTGTAATCAATCATGAATTTCGCTGAATCGTCGATCCCTCTACTGGCAGAGATATCGGTCGTAGTCAGAAATAAGTTCTACCCGTGGAGAGAGAACCGTATAATTAGTTTCATCAATTTGCTGATCATGGATTTGATGTAGCGTGCCCCTCGCGAGGGATTTTCTCTCCCGTCTCTTCTCCATTTTCCCTCGCAATTCCGATCTCGCTTTGGCGCAGGAGTTACATTTTTCACCGTTTATCCTGATTTTATTCTCGCAGCCAATCATTTTCCGCCCGCGGCTACGTCAGATTTCGAAAAAAGCGCTTTGCGTCTGCCTTGGCGCAATGCAGTTATATCAAAGTGATGAGACTGTTATCAAGTTCGAGAATGTTTTTGTTGATTTTAATTGACTGCGGCAAACAAACGACTGCCCGCTTGTACCCGCAAAGAGTTTTCGGCGAGCTAGTTGTACATGTTCTGATGTTTTAAGCGGTTTCGTTGCTGGAATATTAATTTGTATAAAAGTTTTTCTCGTTTCGTGCATCGGAATACAAATCTCAAAGCTACAACGCAAAAAAAAAAAAAAAAATGAAAAACAAATTTTGCGTGGATATTCTTGCCTTTCATCATTTATTACCGTATCGGAAAAGATGTCGGGAAGCATCGATCGGTTGTCGAACGATGCGCGTCATGCAGATAGCGGCGAAACTGAGCGCGAAAAAAAGAAGATACGGCGTATCAAAGAAAAAGACGTTTCACGTCCTGCGTTTACGACCTATATATTGCGGAAACGCAAACTAATGCAACACGATTATTATTAAACGGGGGGGTTTTATTAAACTTTGCGTAATACTGTTACTTGTACCGCTAGATTGAATAAATGCAATTTACATCAGCCGAGAATGTTTGGAGCTCTCTCTTTGCACGGCTACCGTAAGTTTTGATAAAACATAAATTTTCACAAGAGACTCCCGCGAAAAGACTGATTACTCAAAAGCGACGCTTTCAAAGCGTTCGGTTTACCTTGCTCGGTAGGAGTTCTTCTGCGAAGTAAATCTTTACCGTTTGCAGTTACATGGACGGTATATACTCTGATACATCTTCCACTCGTTTCGCCGTTTATTTATGAAAAGATAGAATAAGCGAATAAAGTATGTACGTGCGAGGGGTGGGGAGGAGAGGGGAAGAGGGAAAAAGGCGTTTGCAAGCATGCACTTTGTATACTTTCTCTATTCGGCTTCCAGCACGTTACGTTCTAAAGACATTTAAACGTTCGTGTATTCAGAAATGCATTTAAAACGCTTCGCGCTTAAGAAACTTTCTCCGCGTTATTTCTCAGAGTTTAAGTTGGGGGTAATACTGTTTTATAATAGGCGTAAAACAAGGTGATACTTTACGCTGCGAACTGAAATAATTTTCCCTCCGGCAGAGCTGAACGTTGTTTTTTTTTTTTTTTTCGCCAAAGTTCCAGAAAATTAAGCATCTCGGTAGTTGCGTTCCAGAGAGTCAAAATTCTATTAAAGTAAAGTTTATCAGAAATTACATAAAGATCTTATCTATCGCACCACTTGAAACGCTTTTCTCAAAAACAGATTAAATACGAAATATCGTTGGCAAGACACGGCTGTGTCGAGTTTTAATTTGTGTGCTTGTAACTCACACGTCAGAGTTCGTCAATAGGATTCGTATAAAGCCTAGAGTAATAATTCGTAGACGGCTGCATTATGCAGAGGGGACGTAAAGATATATATCCTTGCATGTTCAGGTGAAACTACAGGCGACTACAGGGAGCTCGGATACGGCGGCACGGAGGGTGCCGGGGTGGCCAGAAACGGATCCTTGGTGATCCCGCGGGTATCGCGAGATCACGGCGGATTCTATCTATGCCAGGCGAGCAACGGTATCGGGCCCGGCCTTAGCAAGCTCATTCGGCTAACGGTTCATGGTAAAATATTCACGTAACCGAGTAGAGTTACCGCTGCCGTCTGGATACGGATCGGGTATTCGGGTATACGGATCGGGATAGATTCGATGGAGTCGCGTCGAATCCGACGTGATCGAGACCAGGTTTCTTAACCACGTGACATCGTCGCGAGAAATTTCGACCTGTAAATATTCTCGAATACAACGGAACATTACACTTGCGACGGATGTAACGTTATCCCTCTCTGAAATTATTTTTGGAATTTAATGAAAAGAGTGGCGGGAATTTAATTTGTTATTACACGATATGTAGTACGTAAACGGTGATATGTAATGCGACAGTTATGAATTTAATAAATTTGTTAATTTGAATTCGCACACACATGGCCCGCCAGAAATTCAATAGTAATACTACAATATTCGTCACTGGATAATTGCTTCGCATCACTGGATGAAAGCTTTCTCTGTACATGCGCGTACACACGCGATTATTCCGGATAACATCATGCGTCGATAATTGATCTTTTTTTTTTTCGTTTTGGCTACAAAATAAACCCGCATCCAATAAAGCACCGTAGGTTGGCTATTGCAATTTGGACGTAAATACAAAATTGAATTGCTTGTTTATAATTATAAAAAAAGCGAAATCGGTGAGTTTTTTCTCTTTTTTTTTTTTTTTTTTTTTTTTTCGGGGAAATTTTTTTTTTTTTCTTTTATCGCGGAAATTGATTTTATTATCGTGTCGTATTTAATGTGCATTGTGCTGTCGCAAGAGACGCGTTATGTACAGCAACGTTCTGATGAAAAATTTCCACTACAGCGGGCCCGCAGGTGACAGTAAGGACGAGACAGGAATCGGTGCGAAGAGGGGAGAGCGTAATATTGCGCTGCGAGGCTGAGGGGGACGCGCCTCTTGATCTTAGCTGGCGTGTTCGTGACAGCAAGATCGATCCTAATTACGACGTTAGGTTCGTATCGAAATTAATTATGCGCACGTAGCGTGAAAGCTCACAGGTTTGAAACGGCATATACCGTTTGATGCAAGCGTCATTTTGACGCTACGTTATCTGCGCGCATTAATTTGCGAAACGTTCAAAGCGAAAATAAATTTCGCTATTCATCGAAATTGTGTGCTAAAATGAGTCAAGTTTGCTACCCGCTTTAATGATGCAAACATTTGGAACTGGATCTATTTAAAATAGACTTTAAAGATATCTACTTCATATGTGAAGAATTGATTTTATAACGTGGAGAATTTTCGTTCTAACTCTCTACATCGAAAATACTTAAATCAATTATTAGACACAATTTTGTATTTAAAATCAACCTAAGAAATAACAGTTATTATTTATTTTCGACTATGATTTCATATTTAAAATAAATCTCATAAATTATTTTAATGTTTTTTTAGTCTATTTTTTTATTAGTTTATTATTAATTTATTTTAGATATTTCAGTAGATTATTTATTTTCGACTATGATTTCATATTTAAAATAAATCTCATAAATTATTTTAATGTTTTTTTAGTCTATTTTTTTTATTAGTTTATTATTAATTTATTTTAGATATTTCAGTAGAGTTAATTAACTAGGTATTTAGAAACCGAATGGGAATTTTTTTACAACTTTTTCGGTATTTAATATAGAATCTTTAAATATATATCTCAAAGAAGTGGAGGTATTCTAAAAAAAAACTGAGATCAATATAGACTCAAAAAAATTGATTTTGAGTTTTCTCCTTCTGCGCGAATGAGATTTAACTTTTAAATATAACTTTACACCTTTAAAGTAAATCTGGAAAATTTCGCAATTGCTCCGACGGTCTTGCGTATCGATTAATCACGCAACCGCTCATCTCGAGGGTTTCCCCGGGTGCAGGTACGCGGTGGACAATACGGTGGACGCATCGGGACACGTCACCACCGAGCTGCGGATCGTCCAGGCGAGCCACATGGACCGCGGCGACTACGTCTGCGTAGCCGCGAACGCCTACGGTCAGGACAAGGCAACAATCCACCTGCTGGTGCAGGAGCCGCCAGATTTCCCACGTAACCTCCACGTGGCCGAGCAGGGTAGCCGGTCGATTCTGCTGGCCTGGTCCTCGCCTGCGAGCGATCGCGACGTGAACCACGCCAGTGCACCGATCACCAACTATATCGTGCAATATAAGGAGGCGCAAGGTACACACTTTTCTCTCTTTCCTTCTTTTTTCGGTGAATGCGCGCGATCGATCGATTAAAAGCAACGAGACAGCGTTTCATTATAAATTTACGTTTCCTGGTCAATAGATTCTTTAACAAGTTTACCGCGACATCAATCGTAAACAAACTGCAAGTTCGAAATAACATCGCACATTTTGTAATTTTTGCAAATTAATTTTCCCAAGCTATTTTCACATTTAATATTTCCACCGATTATATGACAGTGAAATTGATATGATTGCGTAAATGGATGAAACAGAACGGTGTCTCTACATTTTTTAGATTCTACATTTTTAAGCGTGTTTAAAATTTATAACTTATTATTTGTATGCATTTTCCCGAAATTGACATAACATTATTGAGAATGTCAAATGATATCGCATTTCTTTAAAGTTTTCGTATAGAAATATAATTACTTTCAATCTGTATATATAAAAATCGTTATCTATTTGCAAACGGCGAAACGTGAACTCGGTGGAAAATAAGATCCCATATTATATGTTAATCATACAATTCTTAAGAAAATGTTTGTATCATCACTGTACGGATGATGTGGCGGTAAATGCTTTACAAGCGAGAGACATCGCGTTTTTTTACGAAATTCGCAAGTTTTTAAATTAAAATTTTAATCTAAATTGAAGCGCGCTTTGATCTAGCCCGCTCGATAGAGCGCGAGCGAGGATACGCGTAAATATGAAAAAAATTTAAAGTATTTGGATAATTTTCTATTTACTGTTAGCGTACGCGAGTAATCCCAACGGCAGTTGTAAAAATATCGTGTTATAACGTTGCATATTGGTCAAGATAATACCAGATTTTTCTGGTGCTTACTTGAGCTATAATTGGATAGAAAAAATAAATAAATAAAGAATGCAGAAGAAATATTGATGTACGCTGTGTATATTGCGCTCCATTACATTCTCGATCCATCGTCATTATATATGTCGTATATATATATACGCGCGTATTCACAATACGCTTGGCATCTCTATCATCTGCGGATATCATATTGGCCGTTAAAGTTAACACTACGATGTCTTCCGCGAAAGCATTATTCGCGAATAACGCGCCGCGGCTTTTACCCCGTCGCGTCGCCGTCGGGCGAGAATCATTAATCATTTATCCTTCGACGTCGCTCCATGTCCCGCTATTCGTTTAGGATTTATTTTGGATTTACTTCATGGCTTTCGCCGGGTCCCGTCCATTTCTCCCCCTATCAGCCAGTAGTCGCCGTCAGCCGATGTTCAAATAAATTCATGTCAAAACGATCGAAATTCCATTAACACGAATAGCATAATATGTATCTCATTAATAAGTAATAATTCAATCGCGCGGGAAATGTGTGTCTATCCGGAATGTGTACGTCTATTGGATGAAATATTTAATTTATTCGAAATATTTTTTGGAAGAATGTAACAAAATAAAATACGCAAGAAAATAATTTTTAATATAAAAATAGCTTATAAAGTTGATGTCATACAATTGAGTAAAGAGGAAAAATACCATACAATTTTTGATAATATAAAATAAAATAAAAATGTTACATTAATGTGTCTATTAATAGAGAGATATATATAAAGAAACATCTTATCTACGATTCGGAAATGTGAAGAGATATAAATCAAATTAATCCTCATTACTGATACACGGTATTAACGTTGTTTAACGAAAAATACATTTCGCATTTTATTAAAACATTTTATTTTACGAAGCAATTCTAGCGAATATAAGCTGAATATTTTCTCTCATAATATGCTATTTTATAACGTCGCTCCAAGATGCACGCGTGCAACGTAATGCGGTGTAGTCTGTCGCATGAGCTGCGACTGTCAAGAGCAATGGTAATTACATTGTCGTGTTTCTCGTAAACTCACGTCGAGTTGATTCCATACATATAACACGGCGCCGCGAATTTGTTCGTGATTCATACACCCGTATATGCGGCCGCAGAAACAATTTCGTTCTTTGATGTTCTTCCGCGTGCTTGCGTTCGAAAGCGTGCGATTTACGTATCTCGCTGATCAATCTCTTTACAAGAGGATCATCAGCTATTACGTTTCGCGGTCAAGCTTTCTGATATTTGCGAGATATTTCTTTCGTGAAATTTTTTCAATACGAAAATATTTAAATTAATTTCGTATTTATATCAATTCTACATGTATATAATAAAATACGAAAGAAGAAATATACGTATATCTCTTCCTTTTTATTTTAAATTTTTGAATCCTTTGATACCTTGCATAGAAAATAAAAAAAAATTATTATTATTAGATTATATAATAATTAGCACGATCACGCGTGCATTGTCGAGTATTTCTTTGTGATGTAAAGGAACCACTCTATTTTCTGGAGAGAAAAGTGGCTGTATACATATATATACTAGGTATCTCCGAGGTTGGCGGTTCTCATTACGACAGCTAAGCCAAAGTTTTCTGTAAAGTCGTTTGCGAATCTTCCCACTCCGCGTCTTTGTTTTACACTCTCCTTCTCTCCCCCTCCCCTCCTTCCTTTTCCCGGCTACCGACCATCTTCCTCTTTCCTATTTTATAACGTCGCTCCAAGATGCACGCGTGCAACGTAATGCGGTGTAGTCTGTCGCATGAGCTGCGACTGTCAAGAGCAATGGTAATTACATTGTCGTGTTTCTCGTAAACTCACGTCGAGTTGATTCCATACATATAACACGGCGCCGCGAATTTGTTCGTGATTCATACACCCGTATATGCGGCCGCAGAAACAATTTCGTTCTTTGATGTTCTTCCGCGTGCTTGCGTTCGAAAGCGTGCGATTTACGTATCTCGCTGATCAATCTCTTTACAAGAGGATCATCAGCTATTACGTTTCGCGGTCAAGCTTTCTGATATTTGCGAGATATTTCTTTCGTGAAATTTTTTCAATACGAAAATATTTAAATTAATTTCGTATTTATATCAATTCTACATGTATATAATAAAATACGAAAGAAGAAATATACGTATATCTCTTCCTTTTTATTTTAAATTTTTGAATCCTTTGATACCTTGCATAGAAAATAAGAAAAAAAAAATTATTATTATTAGATTATATAATAATTAGCACGATCACGCGTGCATTGTCGAGTATTTCTTTGTGATGTAAAGGAACCACTCTATTTTCTGGAGAGAAAAGTGGCTGTATACATATATATACTAGGTATCTCCGAGGTTGGCGGTTCTCATTACGACAGCTAAGCCAAAGTTTTCTGTAAAGTCGTTTGCGAATCTTCCCACTCCGCGTCTTTGTTTTACACTCTCCTTCTCTCCCCCTCCCCTCCTTCCTTTTCCCGGCTACCGACCATCTTCCTCTTTC